AGTTAACAAATATGGCCCATTGAATAATAATCTTGTTCATGAACGTACTCATAACAAGCAAATTAAAATAAAGATAATTACATATCGACCGCCCAGAACATTCATATTTACTAATTAAGCCTCCAGGTGATTTTTTTTACTACTGAGCCGATATATCTACACGTGCCACGATCAAATTATTGAGAATTTGATAAATATGAAAACAATGGGTTCAGGTTTTACATGAAATTTTGATATTTGAGTGAGAATTTGAAAATTGGATGAAAGAGGGCGGTTAATTTGTAAATAATAAGTTTCAGTTGGGTTGGTCTGAATGTTATTGCCACATTAAGTAATATTAAAGTAATATATATATATATATATATATATATATATTGGTAAATATCTGCCTCAAATGACGTTTAGGATCTCAACAAATCACATGGCTTGTAATGTATATGTTTAGGTAGCTATCGCCATGGGAATGCATTGAGAGAGTAACATTGCCCATTTCATATATTTATTGAATGTATAAAACTATTATTGATGTTGTTATAGGAAGTAAGATGTCATTGTAGAAACTCATGGCCGCCAAAGAAGAAATATTTGTTTAGGGCAACATTTTTTAGGGAAATATTTGTGATAAGAATGGTTGGAAGCATTTCAATTTTGTGCCTTTATTTGCATATCCAACACTTAAACTTTCATATTTATACTTATACCACTCAAAATTTTACGTGCCACAATTATTAACTTATACCATTCAAAATTATAATTACATATGAGACCTTATTTATGCATGAAAAGATATAAAAATTTAAGTGAGAGATGTGTAAATACATAAAACTTATGTGCTACCTAAGTAAACTTCCCTTTTAATTTTAATATTGGATTTTGTCTTGCATGCTCCCCTAGTATATAAGGTAAGGTTATATTAGTCGACTGCATAAGAGATTAAGAGGCTTCCTCCCTCTTGATGATGATGATGATGGCCTTAAATTATATGAATATAAATGAAAATTTTTATGGTGTAATAATATGGTGCATGAAGCTATTCATTAAAATAATATGGGGTAATTTAAAATCATAATCTCTACTAATCCTTACTTAACATCAAGGAAAGCTATTTTAAATCAATTTTTTTATGTAAAAAAATAAGAAGCATACATGGAATAAAATCACTTTCATGATTAGATCATTATGAACAATGAATATTTTTCCTTTTATTTATTCAATTAATATTATTTTTACTAAGTATCAACTTCAAAGTATCTTAACAAATCACAATGAACTCATGGCCGCCAAAGAAAAAAATATTTGTTTTGAGCATTTTTTTTTAAATTTTCTAAGAAAATATAGAAAAATTAAGAAGTAGTCTTTATCTAAAATGGGGATTTTTCTCGAGCATGTGAGAGCATATACAAATAAAACTAAAGATTATTATGGCATTGGGACTTGTCAAATTGTTAACATGTCATAAAGTTAGGGAAATATTCATGATAAGAATGATTAGAATTATTTTGATTTTGTGTCTTTATTTACATATCCAACATCTAAACTTTCATATTTATATATATATATATACAACACTCAAAATTTACAACACTCAAAATTTTAACATTCCTGATTTGAGTATCTCAGTTGATATCACTAAATGAATTAAAGAGAAAAATATTATGTCTACTACGTCATGATAGTTCAAGTTATATCGTAAATATAGTTTGTCAAATGTCGGTTAGTGAAGATTTTATTGTGACTCATGTTAATGATGATAAAGTATGTGAATTTATGTTGTTAGAAGTGACAAAACACATAATAGTTATTTATGCTGACATTGAGACATTATTTGTTGAGGCTTCTGGCTTTGCTGATCCTTCACACATCGTTGGTTCTTCACACACTCCTGTAGCTCCTATTGAACATGTGATTAAAATTTAATGGTTTGAGAAATATGGCTGGTTTGTTTATGTAAGTGCTAGTGATGTGTATTAAAAACAAATATAAATTTTATGACTTTAGTTTGTAGGCCAATTCCAATTTCAGTCACCACATATGACACCGGGTTATATAATATACTTGACCAGCTAGTGATTAATTATGACTCACATCGATCAGTTGATCTCTTACGTTCATTTCACTCTTTCGTTGGTAGACATGTTGAGCCTTTCACACAACAAAAATTATAAAGTGTGTACTTGAATGTTAACGCAGACGAATATGAAATCATGGATGGTTGAACTAGTGGAAACTTAAGTGAACTATAAGCAAACGAGGATTATAGTGGGCGAGATGTTGATCGAAATATTGCATTACTAGGACATGATTTATTACATTAGTATTCAGAGCTAAATACATAGATACTAGAGTCAATGGTAAGGAACAATGAATTTCTGAGATCAATTCGTATGATTGAAGAGGGGGATGCAATTGACGATTGTGACGCTCCTATAAATTAAATATCATTTTATGAAGCTGATGTAATTACGAATGTATTATTAGAGGGAATGATATTTTTAAGTAAAGATGCACTACAATTGCTTTGAATGGTTGGAAAAATAATGAATAACAGAGAGTACATAAAAATTACATCGAATAAAAATAAACTTACAGTTCCGTGTTTTCAATATAATCATGAGACTTTTCCATGTTATTGGCATCTACATGTATCAAAGAGCCAGCGATTAGGGGTTGCATGGAAAATATTTATAATTAGGGTATCACATACATGTACTCGTCCAATAATGTCAATCCAGCATCAAAATTGCACCTCAAATTTCATATGTCACTATGTAGGTTCTATTCTACAACAAGAACTGGACCTAACACCTAAAGAAATTGTTACTCGAATGGAGTAAAAATATAATGTTTGTGTTACGTACATCAAAGCATGGGATGCACGTAAAAAAACAACAAAATCTATTTTTTTTGTAGTTTAGAGGAGTCGTATTGCTCTTTATTTTGCTTAATGGCAACTATTTGTAGTGTCATTCCCGAAATAGTACACAAAATATAAGTCAGAAATAGTACACATTTTCATAATATCTTTTCGCATTTGACCCCAATATATATGGTTGGAGATTTTGTCGACATGTTTTTAGCATGGACAGGACATTCATTCCAGGGAATTATAGTGAGACTTTAGTAACTGTCGTAGGAATTGATTGAAATTGTGGTATTTTTTCACTTGCATTTATACTAGTTGATTATGAGAATATTGACTCATAAGTATGGTTTCTGCAACAATTGCATGTTTTGGTGAAATTCATGCAGACCCGTGAATGCCTATCTACAATATCAAACAGGCACCCTAGACTGGTTCATGGTTGTAGGGAGATCTTTCCATGAGATGCACATAAGCACTGCTTGTGTTATCAATGATAAAATTTTAAGAAGGCAATACGACATCTTTCGAAAGGGGATGTCGATACCATTTGTGATAAAATGTATTAGGCTGAAAATATTGATGAAGCACTCTCTTTTAATACGCACATGATTGAGGCAGTGAATTCAAATTTTGTTCCACTTATAAGTTCAACTCTACAAAGAATAAAGTGTGAAGCCTTTCAGTTTTTGCAACCAAAATGCATTATACGTTCGGACCACCTTCCTTTTTTTTTCAATTATTTTACATTAGATTTATGTCATCAGACATATGATTCAATATTCTATATGATAAATGAGAAAGAATCATGGCCACCGTAAAATCAACAATAAGGTATCACTACTTTGCTCCTTCTTTTGATTAGAAGAAGATGTGGTCATCTAAAGACAAATAGTATTAGAAATGAAAGAGATGAGACCAAAATTTGTAAAAATTTGGGGCATAATAGAACAACTTATCCCTATAATCCAAGTGCAAGAAGATATGAATAATTTATTTCAATTAAATTACATATTAATTTACTGTTATTCATAATTTTTATAAATATATTTGACTTTCCATTTATAAGCACTTCGATTGTTTTGTAGAGATGACTGAGATAACAAGTTCAAGAGGCCACAATCGTCGTGTTAGACACAATGTTCAGGTGGATAACAATACATCCTGAGCAGACACACTTGTAAGCATTTCATCGTTAGGTGAAACACATCGTGGAACAAAACAAGGTCAAGTCATACAAAATACAAAATACGTTTTGTATTTAAAAATTAAGTGAAATCATTATCACTGCTAAAATAATTGAATTTATATATGACACAATTCTTGAAGAAATTAGTCAACTATTAATAGCAAAAGAGTGGCAAGTGTAACGCCCATGGCTTATTTATGCACTAAAAATTTTATGTATCGACTGTGTTAAGAATTTGTAATATTTCAAATTACACCACCAACTAATAGCTGCAATGGTTGAGCGGTGGTGTCTCATGACCAATACATTTCATTTGTATGTAGGTAAGACAAATTTGCATTCATATTTACATATTACTATGATTATTATAATTTATTAAAACTTATATAATGTACATTTATGTTAGGTAAGATGACTATCTCTTTATAGAATTTACATATACTTATTGGTGTTAGAGAAGGTGAAAATGCCATAGTGGGCCTATGGTTGTTGGCACTTGTTTGTATTGGCTGAGTTGGTCAGGATGTTGCGATGAGTTGTCGGGTGACCACCATAAAGCTGATGTTTTCTATTGACATCATATAAACTATGAGACAACATCAATATTTTTTATGGACTATTCCAAATCACAGAATGTCATGTCACTTTGTTAGATTCATTGACAATTTTACTGAGAGTCTTACGAGGATATAAGTCCACATAATTCTTTAAGGTATGTTAGGGCTTATATTTTATAAAAATTATGATGTTTTCTAACTTAGATAGGTCTTAATCTCATATTTGCTTGTAATATAAATTTATAATTTGTTTATAATAAGAGGTAATATATATTAACATTTAAATTAATTAAAATATTATATATTATAAATTGAAAATTATTTTTTTATAACATTTTAATAAAAATGCTCACTATGAGGCGGTTCACGTCTAATATCGAATTTTATTTTCTCGAATTTACAAAACTTGAATCCCACGCTAAGGCACGAACGCAAGAATCCACTCACCTCCTGAACCTCAATGGCGGCGCTCCTCCGTCTCCTCTCCTCCTTTTTCTCAGTATACGCTTTTCTCTGTCTCCCGGCAGCGTTAGCAGCATCCCCCTCACCGGCCTTCTCCACTGGGCTCGAAATACTCCAGAAGCAATTAGGGTACCAGTTCAAGTCAGTGGATCTGCTGCGTCAAGCGATGACTCACCCCTCCTATTCCCTCGAAAACAACCACGCCCTCAGCTTGCTTGGCCTGAACGCCATGGAATCTGCCGCCGCGCTCAGCCTCGTCAGCGAAGACCCAAATGCATCCGCGGAAGCTGTCAACGCCAGGATCGCCAAAATTTCCGGCTTCGATGACTGTGTGTCGGCTGGTAAACGGCTTGCGATTGAGAATCTGGTGCGCGTGTCTAAGAAGACCAGTACCTCGTCGCCGAATGTCATCTGCGGTGCCTATAGGGCGATCTACGGTGCTATTGCCGTCGACGCCGGTGGACTGGATGCTGCTTCTAAGGCGCTGTGGAGTGTTCTTGACGGAGGAATCCGCGCATTCTAGCTCGACAGTCGACGACGAAGGTATCTAAGTATAGCTTTCCTGCGTTTCTTCAGAGGTGTTTGGTTTTGTTTCATGTGGCTGTCAATGTCACCAGTATGTTAGGTTAAATATCAGTGTGTTTGTAATACATTATGTATTTTGTGATATTAGTATATTAAAATATTCGAATGTTAGGTGAAGATTAGTAATCTTGAAGAAATCAGAATTAGGGCAAACCTGAAGAGGGATGATGTTAATTCTAATGCCTTCACAATACATTTATCCTAATCCTGTAGGAGACTGGTATCTAATAACGCATATGTATAGCTTATAGCTATATAAATAGAATATATGCATTTTGGTGTGATCTGATACTGATATTTACAAGGAATTTTAAGGGCTCCTTGGTAACACATTTAATACCTTCGGTAAATTCAGCTTTACTAAATCCTGCCAGCATCACAATTTATTAAATCTGGATTTTAAGGCAAAACTGAGGAAATTGGGAAGAAGCTGTATTTACTAATCCAGCAATTAAAAATTGTTTTTTTTTTATTTTTATTTTGTCTGTCAAGATTTAAGTTAAATACGACTCAAATGTATTACCAGACGGCCCCTTAGTATGATTCTAGAGGATATCAGACATAGAAAACTACCAATTTCTTATTAATTCAGAAGGAATTATTCAGTTGATTGCTACTCCACATGTAGTTTACAGATTGGTTTGAAGGAGGGGGATGTATTTGCTAGCATGAATGAATAGCTTGAGCAATATAGGATATTTTTTGGCGAAAGCATTTATGAATTTCTTAAGAACTAGATAACCTTGAATTGTGTGTTACATCGGTGTTCTTTGAAGTTGGTTGCTTCTGCTGGATTCTTTTGAGGGTTTGTATATCTTCGACTAGTAAAGGTTTTCAAAGTGGATTCAATGTAAGTTGTCTAACAAAATTTATGCCACATGTGCAACTTATAGCACTTCAATACAATTGCTTACTTTATTTTGGGAAGTACTTGTATTCACAAATATGGCTATATACCTAAACGAGACTTTTATACGGAGTCTAATACGAAGGCTAACAAGTCTCATAAACCTCGTAAGCTCTTTTTAAGAAATCAAGCTGTTTTTCTGAACCGGGCTCACTTGTCAAAGTAGTTGAATGAGTCACCTGCCTAAGCATCCTAACTTATCTCTTTCGTGAGGGCAATCCAGCCCAAATAGGGAGGGATAAATATCAAAGATGATCATCATTACTCGTAAGAACAAAAGTCTATTTTTTTTTAAAAGCGATGTCTAACATCCACGCCGCAAGATTTTCATCAAGACACACCGGGCGGGCGTAGTACAATACAAAATGTATTTTTTGTTTCTTTTTTCTTTATGCATAAATGGAAAATCAAGAGAGTAAGGAAGGAGTTTTTTTTTTAAGAAAAACCTCCTAAGATACTCTCTCTCACACACACACACTTTAGAATAAACGTTGTAACCCAAGAGGCTTCCTGTAGATTAAACTAGAGACACTCTCTTAAGCATTAAAATCATCTCTTTCTTCCAGCTTTCTTCTAAAAATAAGGTCTTTACAGAGGTGTATGTCTAACATCCACGCCGCAGGGTTTTCATCAAGACACACCGGGCGGGCGTAGTACAGTACAAAATGTATTTTTTGTTTCTTTTTTCTTTATGCATAAATGGGAAATCAAGAGAGTAAGGAAGGAGGTTTTTTTCTAAAGAAAAACCTCCTAAGATGCTCTCTCTCTCACACACACACTTTAGAATAAACGTTGTAACCCAAGAGGCTTCCTGTAGATCAAACTAGAGACACTCTTTTAAGCATTAAAATCATCACTTTCTTCCACCTTTCTTCTAAAAATAAGGTCTTTACAGAGGTGTATGTACTCATGAACAACATGGGATGCTACATCCTAAAAAGGATTCAATAGTATTGTTGTTTTTCAGGAATATTAATTATTAATGGAATATTAACACTTTTTCTTTGTTCATTTGAGCTTTGGTACTAGAAATGGCAGTGTTGTCTGTTTAGCTTCCATATCTCAATTGGCGGTCATAATGAGCGTATATTTTGTGTTTTTTTTTAAATTTTATCTTGTTCAAACCTTGATACAATTGTAAACTTTATAATTCAGATATAAAACATGAGTTTCTTACACTATTGAGCACTCACTACATAGTGCGCCTAAGAACATTTTTAAAATTTTGCAATATACGTTCAAATTTAATGTCATACTCTTTCTGAAAGAGAACTAAGTTTTGTTTGTTTATTCGTCAATGGTTTGCTTAATCTTCCTATGTATTGTTTTATCTGTGCTGTACCATTTCAATATTATGCTCGAGTGTCAATTATTCCATTATAAATAATAAGGCTGTTGAAATAATGAAACCAGCAAGTTTAAGCTGCATTATTGCTTTCCTATGTGTTCATTAACATTGAAGAATCATATGGGTTGCATTTAGAATTTTGTGCTAGTTCTAATATAATCCTACTAGCAGCTAAATATTGGCTTTTTATACTTTAATCAAATTTTATATTACCTTTCAAACCCGAAGTATTATCATTTTATTTGGTGTTTTTTGAAAGAATTGTTTAGTTTGTAATATTGTATAGGAAGTTTCAACATTCATGAGTACGTGGTTAATGGTGCGTCATCAATCAAATGGCTATGGTAAGGTCAAGTGAAAGGAAATTTTAACTGTTGGATGGCATTAAGTCCCACAGCATAATGATGGATTTTGAATTTTAAACTTGTTTTGGAACTTTATATTTTGAATTTACAATTGAATTTCTGGACATAATTTTATATCAGAGAGCCGATTCTGATCTATAGAATTTTTCTTTTATGGTTGAATTAAGGGCATTAAAGGACAAACTTTGCATGTTTATGAAGCTTGGGGACTGGGGTTATTGAAACGAGATTATAGAAAATGGAATTAGGTCTTAGCATGAAGTAACGGATAGCTAAATAAATGTTTGACCGGATGGATAAATAAACACATGTTTACAATGGTGGCTTCCTTTGATGATCTTTCTATTAAAGTAGAGCCACCAATATTTACTCTGCCATCACCTATATTGATATAAGTAGAGCTATCTAATACAACAACGACAACAAGAAGACTTTTACCACTAATTGTGGTCGGCTACATGAATCCTTTTTTCTTTATTGTGTCCAATTAAGTGTCATATTTTCATTTAATTCTGGTAAATTAAGATCATTTTTTATACAATTTGCCCTAGTCTTTTTAGGTTTACCTCTATTTTTCTTAACATAAATCAACTCTAAAACATCTAATCTCCAAACTGGATCATCAAATGGTCGACGTTTAATGTGGCGAAATCATCTAGGATTACTCTGGTTAATCTTTTCTACCACTGGAGCTACACAAATCTTTTCACAGATACATTCATTTCGCATTTTTTTCTCCAAGTGTCAAGCCACTCATCCGCCTAAGCATTCTTATTTCAACAACACTCAACTCAATTTTACGCTTCTCTTTTATAGGCCAACATTTTGCTTCATAAATCGTTACAAGTCTCACCACCATCTTATAAAATTTTCTTTTAAGCAGTATTTTTCTATCACACAATAGGCCCAATGCATTCCTCCACTTCAACCATCTAACTTGAATTCTACTAATAACATTATCATCTATATCACCATTACTTTGAACAATAGACATGAGATATATAAATTTTCCACTTTTTTAATGATTTTATCACCCATTATTATTGTTAAAACTCTGCCACTAGTCTACCACTACTAAAATTACATTCCTTCTATTCAGTTTTAGATCTACTCAAACCTTTAAACGAAAATCTATCAAGGAGAATCCATCAACAAAAAGAGGAAGTTGACAAAGCCCGTGGAGAGAAGATGATATTCCCTTCAAAGTAGAAGCAAAAGTTTAGTTTACTTGTTACTATCTGGAGTTGAAGCTAATATAAATAAACAATTAGTTTGAACTTCTTGAAATGTATTTTATTGTTTAATATTATCTGGATAACAAGAAAATTGCATTTGTTTGTTTTATGTTGACATCATAATCTTTAGTGTGGAGGCAACTGCGATCTAAAAGTTATTATATTTTAAAATTAAAGTTTAAATGATTGTTAAAACTTAATTCTATCCTACTGAACATAAAGAAGAAAGGAGAAGTCATTTGTAAATTTTGAAGCAAGAGAAGAACAATAAGAACAACAAGCCTTAAGCGGGGTTCGTTGTATGAATCTTTTTTCTCCATTGTGTCTTATTGAGTGTCATATTTACATTTAATTCGAATAAATTAAGATCATTTGTATAACAACATGCCCAAGTATTTATCCCACTAGGTTGAGTTCATTTTTTTTTATGAATCTTTTTTTCTCCATTGTGTTCTTTTAAGTGTCATATTTTCATTTAATTCTAATATATTAAGATCATTTTTTATATAATGTGCATGCTTCTTTTTAGCTCTACCCCTTCCTATTAAAATTTAGAAGACTAAAAACTATTTCAAAAATTCCAATGAATAAAATTTTTAATTCTTTAAACATGTTGCTTGTCTTCATGAAAGCTTTTACGTATAATTGAAGCTCTTTCGAGTTGCTAACGTCTTTGTACATTAAGCTATAGCTGATACCAGAGTTAACTCAAACAACTATAAGAAAGCAAATAATTTTAGTGAAAGGCAGAGAAGAGACTATAATCGGACACACTTTAATAGGAAATAACAACAAGTACGACACACAATCCCGACCAGGGCAACTCGAAGGTGGTGATGGAGGTTGTTGGTGGTTGGGAAAAAGTGAGAGTGAGATAAGGAAGTTTAGCAAGGGGGCGAGTATAGCAGAGGAATAATAAATACTTATTGTCTTGGACTACAGGATGCACGTAGGATGGTTAGACAGCGGTAAAACGACAAGACAACGGAGTTGAGTGACTGCAACTGCGATGTAGGACAACAGTAAAACAACAAGGCGACAGAGTTGCAAGGGTGCATCAACGATGCGAGACAGTTGGGAAGGTTGAAATTGATGTGGAAGAGCTGTCAAGAATGATAACAACCAAAGTTTGGTTGGTCCGAAACAACAACAACAACAACAAAATATAGGTGGTTATGGGTGTTGGCAGCAAGGCGAAGTAGGAAGTGTGTTTTTTGGAAGGCAGCCGCAAGTCAGAAGGGAGGAGTGCGGAGTTTGGAAGGCGACAACAAGATGGACTGCAGAAAAATTGCCAAGGAGGGATGTTTCTAGGCGACTGCAGCAGGTACGCGACAGCGGCAACGAAGGGAAAGATGCAGAGGAAAGGAAAGTTGAGGATAGTCACCACCTCGGAATGAGATACTGATGTGAAATATGTGATGAATACCATGCCAATTTACCCTTGTTTTTGCATATTTTATAATGTTCTTATGCATGGGGAATGTATTTCTATCTGTTTTGTGCAAGTTACAGGTTGGATGTCGATCAGAAGTAAAAAAAGGGCAAATCAGAGTGAATAATGTAAAGTTGTGAGCCAGCGCAGCACTGAAACGTCGTCTTCCCAACTCACCAACACAATCTTCCTAGTGTGCCCACACCGTGGCAGCGCGCCTGCACCCACTTGACAGCGCACCCGCGCTATCGACTGTCAGGGTTAAAGTTCCCGCGCCAATCTCACGGAGTGCCCTTGCCTAGTTGTTGAATCAAATTTCGAAAAAAATTTATTGCCTATGTCAAAGTTCCCTATATGTATGCTCACTAGTATCCTGGGTGAGAGAGTTTTCTTTTAGGTTTTCTTCCTATTTTTAGGTTGAGATCTTAAGAGCTATTTTCCTCCTTTTCCCTCTTGTTTTCTTGTTGTTCTCGAGAGATACTTGTATGAGAGAGAGAGATCTTCTATTATTGCGGAGAGGATAAGACATCATTGGAAGTTTTACTATTTGTTTCTTGCAACAATGATCTGTATGGATTTCTTTTCTGTGGTTTTCTATATTATGTGTGGCTAAATCTCGTGTCTTTGTGATATTGGGTTACTAAAATTTTCTTTGGTTTTTGAGATGTTTTTCATGTAATGTTTTGTGAACTTTCATGTTTTTATGTTGTTGGTTAGCTTTTAAGATTTCGTTTACTCATAGTCTGAACAATTAGGACGTTAAAATCTTTCGTGATCTAGTAATTTTACCCTTTGCAGAGTGGAAAGATTAGGTAAACCACTGAATCTTGGTAGAATATGTATATTCTAATTAGAGTTTTATAACCTAGATAGGGGATCGAAAGAATCCTGGGAAACTCCATGAAATTAAGCAAAACTTAACTTCTGGGTATTTGATTCTTCTTCTAACTTAGACATAAGCTTAAGAAGAAAATTTATCCCTAATTGACAACTATCATGTAGGAAAATGTTTAGAAAAATCATGATATATCACGATTCCTAAATCACAGAGGCACGAGTCTCATCTATCTTGAAGAACAAGTTTTCTTTCTGCTTTTGGTTTTCTGTTTTCTGAGACCGCGTTTTATTTTCTATTTGGTACATAGGATTTTAGGAAATCACTTTTGCATTGTGATCACTCTAAGCTAGATTTACGGAGTTAGTTAAGTGGGGCTTTTTATGTCAGAATAATTGTTAGTCTTTTCCTTACGGGGTCGATACACGAACTCTAACACCGCATATTACTTGACATGTTTATTTGAGGGATTGACCGACCTGCCTCGATGTGAATTTTTGACTTTCAGATACAACTGGAGCACCACTCGCATTTGGATATAGCCCTGGAAGGTGAAATCGGAGACGGCTATGGCTACCTCGATATAAAACACACAAAAAACTTCAAACCTAAAACACGAGCAAATATATAAGTCCTAAACAATTAGGAATGGGCCTCTCTGTTTAAAGGAAGCCTCGACCCTATGTGGAGGAGCCGGTCAACTATCCCATGTCTAGACTGGCCAGGCGTCGAATGTGGATGGGGTATTTCGCGCCCCTCATGTCCACATCAATAGTAATAAGGTAACAGAAGAGCAAGATGGTGAAGTAAAGGCACAAGCCTCTTAAGGATAACTGAAATTTATATTCTAAAAAGAGGCTAATGTGGGAAGACAAGAAGAAGAAAACCCCCCTATTACAAAAGTAGTAGTTGAGATGGGCAACTTGACAAATGCAGATCAATCATTCATTTTTATATTGCATGCATGTATAATTACAGAAGTTATGCAGGAATTGTTTCACCTTAAAATGCAGGTGAAATGCACCATTGTTGATGCCATATTGGATCTAAATAATTAAAGAAAACCTTATCCATGTAGCTTTAGTTGAAAGACAGGTTAATCACGACTTTGACCAAATCTTATTCTATGGAAAGTGTAATGTTTATTTACTCAACAATGTACATTTAGATTTGCTTTTCTAGAGATTCTATTTGTGAGTTACCCTATAAAGTTGTACTGCTAGATGGATGCCATGTAATTTTGGCAAGTTCATATCTATGGGATGTGAATGTTATGTTCCATAAAACTGTGGGATCCGATGCTGTAACAGTCTCTTAGTTAGAACAGCCAAATGCGACGGCTAGATTGAAGAAATATTGAATTTTGCATGCCTTTAGAAGCCCGCAACGATCTTAATGAATCAATTTATAGTAGGATGTGTTTGAGATTTGAGAGCTTCAATTTACTTACAAATAGGGCTGTCAAAACGGCTCGTTGCCCGCAAATAGCTTGTGCTCGGCTCATTCGTAAAGTTAAAGAGTCGAATACAAATAAAGATATGTTCATTAGTGTTTGGCTCATTTTGCCTCGAAATAGTACTCATCAGTTTATATATATATATATATTAAATTCAAATGATATTTTAATTTAAACAATAACTTTTAAATCTTACCCACCCCTTAACATCTCATGACCGCGTGATTAAGATTGTCAAAATGACTCTTTATTCGTGCACAGCTCTTGTTCGGCTCTCTAAGCAAACGAGCCGAACATGAACACACTTTTTGAGCTCGAAATATAAACGAGGCTCAACTTGTGTTCAACTGGTTTACAGCCCTACCTGACAAGGGTTATTGTTAGTTACGAGTCAAACTTGCATTTAAGCTATCATATTTATTAAGTCCACCTAAAGTCCCTCACACGTTAACCTATTTCCATATATATATATATAT